AATGCAAGGGAATGGGGTTTGCTCCATGGAAAGAGTGCAAGGGAAGCATACAGACGCATTGAAAGTCACAACCACTAAGACCTTTTCTTTACAATCAAAGGGGTTGATAATCTCTCAAAGGTTGACAATTCTTGGTGCAAGTGTGGACAGCATACAAAGAATTGTCCAGCTGTTGTAGTAGAATATAAATGTCCATAGAAGTACAAGGAATTACATACCCAAGAAGCATTCCTTACCCTAGAAATTGGAGGAATCAGAAACGAAAAAGGAGACTTTGTACTGAAAAACAACACTTGATAAATTACGACATCGTGCCTCTTTTAATCAAACAACTGAATTCTCAGTCAATTTAATGTACTTTCTTTAAATATATATTGAATGAAAATTAAAAATTAATAAAATTCAACATTTAATTTAACATTTAATATTACACAGGGCGATTCCATGTCCATTTCCCATTGTCAGTTCCTTTTTCTATTCTGTTTTATGTGGAGAACACAATTTGGGAAAGCAAACAATCAGGTAAAACTACTGCTCGACTGGATGATTTTTATTGTTAATACAATGATATGCATGCCACTAGACATGGGACTGGCTTGAAATAAATCTTGACTGCACCTTAACAAGAATCAAAGCATCAGAAAATTTCTTCAGTCCACAGTATTTGCAAGAGAAGTATGTATTTATTCCTATCAATAGAAGGTAAGTTTATAGTTATTGCAATAAAGTTTATATAGTATTGTACTTCATTTCATATAATAAACCTATTGAACAGTAGTAAAACCCCATATTTTATAATCATATTTTACACCGGTGGCTTGCTGTCCTGACACCTTGGTATGTATATATAGCTATAAGTGTATGTAATTTTATATTTTAATATAATTGTATTTTATCCTCATGTGCATTTACAGTATTTGTCATATTTCCATTACATAGGCATTTTCTTGTGCTGGATTCCATGACTTGGGATATTAAAACAAGACGAATTGAAAAAAATTCCATTAACATCTATGCATATGCGTATAAGTCAAGCTGGCCACATAAGTTCTACACACTGCTTTTATCTTTAAACGTTTTCACTTTCGGGTTTTTGGATCATCTATGCAAGTCTAACCACCTTACTCCAAGGCATCAGCAGTTATCTAATCATGCGCTAAAGGTAAAGTCAGTCACCAACATATCATATTCAAGGGTGGAATGTAATATCAAAGATTTGTAATGTCAATTTTTAATAATCACTTCTTATATAAGGTTCCAAGAAAGGGAATAAAGAGCAACAACTGTGGCATTTACATGTGCATGTTTATCAAACACTTCATGCAGGTACAGAAGCATATCTTATAAAAACCTCTTTTACAGGACCTGGACAACTATGAGTCAGACCCGGATACCTATGCAAGAACCAAACTGATGCAGAACAAATGCCAAACTGATGCAGAACAAAAAAGAACAAGAATGAGAATCTACTTAAAATCTCAACTTGTTTGATATGTAGTAGTCTTCGACGTTAAGTAATGTGCTAGCTATTGTATAACAATTATTATATTATTGAGGTTACAACTTTCTTGCTTTATATGTTAACTTAGTTCCTTTATTACTGGTTAAAACCCTTGTCAGCCATAATAACATCATCTGGCTGTAGGTTTTTCAAAAAACCACTAACTTTTACAATCTCCTTATCTCTTATACTTCCTTTGTATAATTTTGAGACAAAGTTAAAATGCATAACTTGGGACATTGAAATTAGCAGCTTAAATGTTGGAAGATTTATAATGACTGTAAGTAGCTCTTTGGCTTGATGGCTTAGAAGGCTTTTCAACATAGAATTCAGTGCAATCTATAAATGCTCTCAGATTGCTAAAGGATTTCTTTATGAATGCATTTGACTTATGAATTTCCTTTAATTATTCCTAAGTGGAAAATGGTAACAGAAACCCCAACTCCTTTTCAATAAACAAAATCTAAATACCAGTTCCTGTAGAAATGCCAAAAACATCACATAGATTTGCAAACTTGGGTTTCTCTTAAGTCTTACTAAAGTAAATACAAATTGTTCTTTAGCTGTCAATTTGGCCAGCTCTTGCCTCTTCTGAAAATTACTACAATAGTAAATTCATTACAATCTACGGATGCAAACTCAGATGGTTAATATTTTCGTCTCTTCTTGATTTGTCTAGCTTCACAACGAAAATGAAACAAATTCACTGGATCACCGTTCGAGTTTCTTACCCATCGTTCAGGGTATCGTAAGTCGTGTTTGCACGTTCTGTAAGCACTGTGACCTTTTAGTGGTGACCATTGCACTGGTACACTACGATCGCGCATGTTTCACAATGTCCTACCTTTGGTGTTTTGTTTACATCATAATTCACGTGACACTACACGTGAACTCTAACGCCGAATAGCTGAATTCTTTCCACAGCACAACTCAGTCAACGTTTGTATTGTTTGTTGTTTTTGTTTTTTTGTTTTTGTTTTGTTTTTGTTTTTTTTCGTTGTTTTTTTTTTTTGGTTTTGTTTTGCTTTTGTTGTTTTTTTTTTTGTGTTTCTTGCCGATAACAGCCTCGCCTTTGGAGCATCATGTTGTTCACCTTGGTTGTATAAAAGAGATATGCTTTTGCGGACTACTAAGACTGCCTGTGCTTCAACGGACGATGTTTCTCATTCTCTAGCGTTCGTAAATTTCTGCATGCAGCGACTACAATGTTGCAGAAAAGGCATATTTCTACCGTATACCCGATAAACTCTCAGAACTACGTTAAAAACGTGTCCATAGACTTCAGCAGGACAAAACCCTTAAATTTTGCACAGGACTCTCTATTTTTTATTTGAATTTATTATATAGATATCGATGAAATCCCAGGTTTTCTATAGCGTCAATAACTTGATATCTTTTACCAGGGGAAGATACCATATCTTTTACATGCGAAGATATCGCTGTTGACATAGTAACGTATTTTTCAACCAATCAAATTTAACTTTCAAACTTGGCGCGGGGATTCATCGAAATTTTTTTTACAGTTGGTTTTTACGGAGCCCACTTAAATTTCTAAAAGGAAGAAGTTGATGTAAAATTTGACGTGCTAGGAGAACTTCTTCCAGATCTAGATGCAGAGGAACAGGATGAAGGAAGGTTTTTTCAAGTTACTGATCATGACGATGATCATAAACTCATTGAAGGAGAGCTAAACAAAAATACTAAGCGAAAGACGTACTACGACCTAAAACTCGTTAAAAAATTCATGCAAAAAGTGAAGAAAGAGGAGAGAGAAATCGAAGATATTCCCCCAAATGAGCTGAATGGTCTTTTAAGCCAATTTATAGTGGCAGCGAGAACAAAAACAGGACAAAATTACGAGCCATCCTCACTTCGCGCTATCTTATCGAGCTTTGAACGTAACTTGAACCAGGCCAACTACAGTAAATCCATCTTCAAGGACTATGAATTCCAAAAAACAGAAGAGGCATTGAAAGCTAAACAAAAGGAACCAAAAAGACAAGGTCAAGAAAACAGACCGCACGCAACATCAGCTCTTTCGGATGAAGAAATTGAAGTTTTGTAGTCTAAAGCATTGCTCGGAACGAGCTCCCGTCAAGCGCTTCATTGAACACAGTGTGGTTCAACAACATGGTTCATTTTGGCTTGAGAGGAGGAGTCGAACAAAGAGCATTATGCTGGGGAGACATTACTTTAAAAGCTGAGGTCGGAGGGCAAGAGTATCTTGAGTATTCTGAGCGCCAAACGAAAACAAGAACGGCAAGAACGGGACCAACGACAAGTGAAGCCAAGAATGTACGCCAATCCTGCCATACCAGAACGTGACCCCGTGCAAGATTACAAGATTTAGACGCTTACAAGATTTACAAAGAAAAACGTCCTGAAACGATGCTAAATCCTGATTCCAGCTTCTATTTATCTATAAATGTCTTCAAAACAGAAGCTGAGTTAATGTCAAAGGAATGCAGATGGTTTAAGGCTCAACCAATGGGGGTTAACAAATTAAACAGTGTAATGAGAGACATGACCGAAGCTGCCAACATCCCAACGAAAACAAACCACTGTGGGCGAAAAACATTGATCCAAAAACTTTAGAACAGCGACATACCTCCCAACCAAATTATACAGATATCCGGACATAAAAACCTTCAATCTGTAAACAACCACAGCTCTCTCAACGAAAGACAAATGGAAAATATATCACATATTTCTGTCAGTGTGCTCGAATCTCAACGCAAGAAACGACGGTACATTATTGAAAGTAGTGATAGCAGCCAAAAAAAATTTGGCTTTTGACAAAACTTTTTCTTTTTCTTTCACTTTATTGATAATTTTTCAATAATTTTCGTTTATATCATGTTGATATTTTGATAGCATTATGCTAATATTTTATTAGAAATGTGTGATTATAGATTACAGCTTTTGCTTGAAAGTGTCAAAGAATCGGCTTGCTATTTTAATAAAGAATTTTTGAGCTTTTGTTTTATTTAAGTTTCATCGATATCTATATAATAAACAGAACATTACATGGAAGCTTGGAGATACGAATTTTATCTTCTCGTGTTCAATTCTACGGAGCCCCGTTAGTGCCACACAAGCGCGTGTATACATTTAACAGGGCGCCACTTATTTTTCGGCGCAACTTATTTTTTGGCGTGACTTATTTTTCGGCGTGCGACATGTTTCCGGCACGACTTATTTTAAATCCCTAATAGGACTAACCGCTGTTCTATGGTATCGATGGCACAATTAAATCAAAATGGCGACTGAGAACGACCTTCGCGACGGTTTAATTGAATACTTTCATATGGGCTTTACTTACAAGGAAATCGTTAATTGCTTATTTTTAAACCATCAAATACCCCTTAGCCTAAGACAGCTTAAAAGAGTCTTAGCGAAAAACGGTCTTGGACGGCGACGCTTCAGTGGCTTCAATGAGATAGTGGATACAATACCAGAAGAGCTAAGAGGAAGCGGGAGCATTGTTGGGTACAGAACTATGTGGCAGAAATTAGTTGTAGAGCATAAACTATCTGTTAGCAAGGACTTTGTCCGGAATGCATTAAGGATAATGGACCCTGAAGGAGTAGACAGGCGCTTAAAGCATAGACTCCAAAGGCGACGATATCATGCAAAAGGCCCAAACTTCATTTGGCACCTTGACGGTTATAACAAACTAAAACCCTATGGGTTTTGCATTTATGGTTGTATTGACGGTTATTCGAGAAACATTATGAGGCTCGAGGTTGGACGTACAAATAATCATCCAGGTGTCATAGCAAGCTATTTTCTGGACTGTTTGCAAAATATTGGATGCACCGCTTCTGTGATTCGTGCAGATATGGGTACAGAAAATGTTAGAATTGCTGCCATTCAACGTTATCTACGACTTGAAGCCGACGACAGTTCGTCAGGGGAAAAGAGCTTTCTTTATGGGAGATCAGTGACCAATCAGAGAATAGAGGCATGGTGGGGGCAACTGCGGCGAGGTGCCTCTAATTGGTGGATAATTAACACATTTTAAGGATTTGAGGGATAGAGGACTTTACTGTGATGCCAATGATGTTCATGTGGAATGTCTACTGTTTTGTTACATGGCAGTTATCCATGAGGAACTCCAAAAAGTAGCACGACTGTGGAATCTTCATCGTATTCGCCCCTCAACAAGGAACAACAGTTCTCCACATGGTCGGCTCTATCTTTTATATCATTATCCTGAAATAACAGGGGCTGTAGATTGCAAGCATGATGTCGACAATGATGAGTTAGATGTTGCTAGAGAGATGTATTGTGATGACCTTCCCATGTGTTCTTCACCTGAATTTAATGAATTAGCTGAACTTATCATGACAGAAGGTCTAAGAATGCCAGAAAATGGCAATGATGCACGCACTCTTTATTTGACTCTTCAACGAGACAGAGAAATTGATGTAGCTTCGCAAATCCACAGATTGAACACAGTCAACCAGAAGACAATGCATTACGCCTTGTTCTCAAACTCAACAATAATTCATGACTTTATGGTCCAATGAAATGCTTCTTTTGGGGTCACGTGCATACGGTTGGATACCTTGATCCAACACTGGATGCTAATTAGATCAAACTCCATGGATTTGGCCTTCTGAGTCTGGGTATTTGGATCCCCTGATGAAACACTCGCACTCGTATTACATCTACTATTTTCACAATTGATAAATCTGTAAACCCAATAAGAGCATGAGCATGCTGGTTGGCCTACTTCACATTTCAAAAGGACATGGATATGATTTTGTTTTAACATTGATAATTTAACTTGTATGGGAGGGGGGGGGGGGAGGTATGCAAAGTATACACTTATTTCCTGGGACCAGTTGAAACGGTATGGTTTGTGATCCCGGAAAATCGGCGGTCAAGGGATAACTAAACATACGACTTTCCCTCGGTACCATTAAGTAAGTGCTTTATTATCAAGTGTCAAAGAGCCTAGAGCAAAACAAATAGAGAAATGAAATGTTTTACTCTTTGAAACTTTTACATAAAACAATATTTAAAAAATGTGAATATAAAATGTCATTAAATTAAATGAACACAAGATTTTCAAGACTGCAATAAAAACATGGAATGCATTTTTGGTTTAAAATAGACTTTGACACTTGGTATACAGTCAATGTCATTATATAAAGTGTATATCAAGGGAAAAAATTGATTTTGAAAATCACTAGCTAATATATGTAATTTGAGATTACTTCTCTACTCAGAGAAATACACATTTGAAATATCACTATGAAAATGAGATGACGTAAATTCCAGAATGTGATACATTTTGAATTATAATCTATGACAACTCACGCCGAAAAAAACGTCTCACGCCGAAAAATAAGTCGCGCCGAAGAAAACATCTCACGCCAAAAAATAAGTCGCGCCGAAAAAACAAAAGTCGCGCCCTGTGATCTCACGCCGAAAAATAAGTCGCGCCGAAGAAAACAGGTCACGCCAAAAAATAAGTCACGCCAAAGAATAAGTCGCGCCGAAAAATAAGTGGCGCCCTGTGTAATGCGCTTGTGTGGCACTAACGGGGCTCCGTACAATTCAGATATCAATCGCACACTCGAAGATAAAATTCGTATCTCCGCGCGCCCATGTAATATCTTCTATAAACTCCTAAAAATCTAGGTTATATCAACATCCTTGAAAAAGTTAAGAGGCTGTGCACGTAAAAACCGACCGGTGGGGTCGGACTCAAAAAATCGATTTCCCTGATTTTTTGCTCATTTTTAGGGTTTTACCATAGAATAATTAGAATGTAATTTTTATGTTTTCATTGTTTTTATTACCCAAGAAAATGAGCTCCAAAGTTCGACCCAGCTTGGAGGCTCAAATTAKCATCAATACAAGGGTTTCAAAACTCTTTGCGAAGAACGGTTTTCTTCTTACATTATAAACAAATAAGCCAAGAAAACTTTCTATCAATCATATGAGAACGATTCTGTGCAAAAATATTGACCGTTTTCTTGATAACGAATTTCTGGCAAATTTTTGAACACAGCTAACTCGGCTCAACCTGGTTTTACCACTGGTCTTTAAATCGGAATATTTTAAAAGTGGCAAAGTTTCAAACCTAAAATTATACCATATCTGATAGATCTAGCCCTATATTTCAACTTTATTGGAAAAAATTTGTTGCCCAATGCAAAACGACATTGCGAGGTTTCACCTAAATTACTTTATTTTGATCGTTTATTTTGCAGCCGAATCACTTCCGGTCTGTGAGTAAAATACAACAATTTACATATTTTGATTTCAAAAACAAGATAAAGTCACAAATAAACAAATTGCTTTGAGTAAATGAATAAAAAAGATAAGATCAAAAAAGATAAAAAAGATCACTGCCGTGATCCATTCTCTGTTGTATAAAAATCTCTCTCGACTACCACATCGCGAAACAATTCCATAATAAAACAGGATAAATTTTGGCAGGAAAACATACGAAGTACTGAAATAGTAGCAATAGCAATGGAAAGTTAAAACATGAATTCGTCTTCAAAAATCATTTAGAGCAATGTCTAATGGTCTCTCTGTGCAAGTCCGGCAAACAAGTCTGTCTGAAATAACTGTGCTTGTAATTATCCTGTCACCGCGCTTGCGGCCAAACTGTAGCAAGTCAGTTCGAAAACTGCTGACCGAAGGCTGAGTCAAGGTTTTCGAAGTTTGCAATACTTTTCTAAGAGACTGTGGACCATGCCGTGGTCATACGGAAGTGCTATTCTTAAACACATGTCGTGATAATATAAAAGGTCATCTTCAGAGCTAGCACCTATCTCGCTCTGACTTGATAGAATGTGAATTGATTCTCCAGAGGGTCGGTTTAGAAAACATATCTTCTGATGCAACAAAGGCCTTCCGTGTTTGTCTTCGTCACAGATATGGACTGGGAAAGTTTTGGACCACCTAGATCATGCCAGTATCCATCTCACAGTGGTTCGTCATCTATAGTAAAAGGACGCGATGTCATTGGCCAGAACATCTAGAGAGAAATTACCAACCTGTTTGGAATAACAGTTCTACTAGGATCACGTAATGATATCATTTGAATAAAATACAGCAGTCAAGAGTGTTAAAAAGATTGGAAAAGACCAATTCAATTTGTTCTTCCAAGAGCGGCTCGTCGAGAGAAAGAAGCCTATTACTGACCCTATACCAAGAAACAACTTCCATATTTTCTCACCCATTGGCAAGAAAACCACATCAAAAAAAGGCGCTAAATTACAAGTGCTAAAAGAAGACTGCGCACTTTTTTCCAGGTTATACATCTCTTGTCAAAGCCGAGATGGAAATCTTGAAGAGTTCTTCAAGTTCGAAAATCAGCCTTGGCCGCCATCTATCTCGCAAGTAGGGCAGCTAAGAACAGGACAAAAAGCAGAATTGATAAAGTGTTTGCCGAAACCGACGCCCGAGGTTGCAGGACACCCAAGTGTAGATGCAATTATTCTTGATGGTGCAGTTATTGTCCAAATGTTGCCACCCAAAACCGCAAGCACATTTGACGATTACGTCAATGCGGTATTTGCACCCTATATTCTCAGACAGCTAGAGTCAGTGAAGCGACTTGACATAGTATGGGATGTGTACCGAGATGACTCTCTGAAAAGATCTACTCGAGAGAAGAGAGGTTATGGTCAAAGTAGAAAGGTACGTGCTGCAAGACCATAATCAGTGTACATCGCATATATTTAAGATAGAACATTCGATTAATTTGAGAACATTTCCCCCCTGTAAAACAGGTGCTTCCATCGACAAGAATTCCTCGGGACTGGAAAGGGTTTCTTAGAGTCAATGAAAATAAAGACGAGTTTTTCAAACTCCTTGCTAACAAGGTACAGTGATAATGAATACAAATGCGATAGCAGTGTGCATGGTTGCAAACATTAAATTTTATTTGAAATAATTAATTTTTTGGTCACAACACAACTTAATTTCGAATGT